CTACAACCCAATAGATGGCGTAGAAAATGATAAAAAGCATTTTAGCATTTTAGCCTTTATGCATGATTTTTACATGTCATTTATCTTAGTTCGCACGAACGCTCCATCTATCTGCTCTCCCCCCGGTCATTTTTAGGACCAATTGAGTTTGCCCACATCTGTGCTAACCAATAGATTGGACTCCAGACTCCTGACACCTTCCTCCTGAACCCAGACAATTATCCCCTCGGCTGCTTCTATCTCCCAGACCTGTTGGCACATCAGGACATTGTTCCCGCTCTGGCACTTTCAATGGCTGTCTTCACATCTTGTCTCACTCACCGTATCTGTCTGACCAAGGCTCATTATGGAGCAGGTGTCTGGATGCAGCTGATCTGATGGACGGCTCGTAATAGACGCCTCCTACAGCTGAGGGTTAGACAGCAGCCAGACTAAGCTAAACACACCGGTTTGAGTCACGTAGCATCTTCAGAAATATATATATATATATTTCTGAGCACATTATGAAGTGAAAGGCTCTCTCTAAATGTCTGCTCAGTCGCTTGGCTTTCAGACGTCCAGACGACGAAGGACAAGCCGCCGTACGCTCTGTCTCTGAACCACACGTTCGTGTCAAAGACACCTGACGTTCCTTACCCCGACCTGCAATGATTCCGTTCTTCTGTCTTCCAGTGAAATTCCAGTGTCCACCCATGAGACAGTTCCGCTGTCGTAATGACCGCGTGTGTCTGCCCTTGTCCAAACGCTGCGATGGAGTCAACAACTGTGGAGACAACAGTGATGAGCTTGAATGCTGTAGGTCGGGTTTATCCAGAAAGCAAAGAAAGCTGTGTGTTGTGATTTTAAATCATAAACCAACGAGTGTGAGTTAACTGTGTGACACCTTCACTCCCCCAGCGCCTCCTTCCCCTCCAGCGTGTCAGAAGGATGAGTTCCAGTGTTCCAGTGGACGCTGCATTAACTCGGTGCTTCGCTGTAACTTCTTTAACGACTGTGAGGATTATGGCTCTGACGAAATGAATTGCAATAAAAAAGGTTTGTACTCTCTCTCTCCCTCCTTTTCTCCCCCCTCTCTCTCCCCCTACAGTACAGTTGCACAGCTGTCTCACTCCCTGTCTTCTCTCCTCCAGACACAACACTGAACGAATGCCGCAGCAACCGGACCCTGTGTGGAGACGGAGACGAGGCTCACTGTGTGGTCAACGGCACTAACTCCTTCTGTTCCTGCAAACCCGGCTTCGCGGCCAAAGGACGAAACAGATGTGAAGGTAGAGATTTTTTCCTCAGACCCAGCTCTGACGGTCACATGGTCGACGGTCGTGAACTTATCTTGACTCCACGGCGGGGGGGTGTGTGTGTGTGTTCCACAGATAAGAACGAGTGTCAACAGTTCGGAGCGTGTTCCCACATCTGTAACAACACCAAGGGTTCATACAAGTGCAGCTGCCACAAACACTTCACCAGAATCAATGACACCTGCAAGGCTGACAGTGAGCACTTCTACCTTTTAAAACTTCTTCCCCCCCACAGCTGCAGTATATATATACACATATATATGTGTATATATATATATGTTTTATATATATATACATATATATACATATATACATATATGTATATATATATATATATATATATACACATATATATGTGTATATATATATATGTTTTATATATATATACATATATATGTATATATATATGTATATATGTATATATATATATATATATATACACATATAGGGTATTTGACTGATCACTACTTTCACCGTGGGGATTGATTTGTTGTCGTCTCCTGCTCTCTCATTTGTTTCTCTGCGTCTCTCCAGCCCAAAGGCAGGTTCTCTATATCGCGGACGACAATGAAATACGGAGCCTGGACCCGTCGATGCCAAACTGGCGCTACGAGCAGATCTTCCAGGGCGATGCAAATGTGCGCATCGACGCCATGGACCTTCACATCAAGACGAACCAGATTTACTGGACTAACTGGCACACGGGACGCATCTCCTCCTACGAGCTGCCCTCCACCTCCTCTTTCTCCAACAGCAATCGCAACAGACGACAGACTGAGTCACATGTCACGCACTTGGAAGTAAGTGGACTCTCATCGGCCGTGTGAAACGTCATTCGGACGGTTAATGACTAGACCGGGGGTGTCAAACATACGGCCCGCAGGACAAAACCGGCCCTTTAGAGTGTTCAATCTGGCCATTTGATGAATTTTGAAGATGAAAAAAAAATATTTTGTGAAAATAATATTATTTCATTAAATACAAAGAAATAATAACAATAAATAATATAAAATACTTATTATTTATTACGGGGTGATTGTACTGGTCCGGCCCACTTGACATCTAATGAGTTTGACTCCTCTGGACTAAACAGTTATGGGATCCATTGTTCCAAATGAACCATGTAACTGTGTTTAGATCCCTGATCTGAAGATGCCCCGTGGCATTGCCGTGGACTGGGTGGCAGGAAATCTGTACTGGACAGACTCGGGTCGTGATGTCATCGAGGTTGCCCAGTTGGGTGGCGGACGCCATCGCAAAACCCTCATTTCTGGCATGATTGATGAGCCTTATGCCATTGTTGTCGACCCGCAGAGAGGGTTAGTGGGATTGAGAACGCCACATTGTAGATGTTTTTTTAACTCTTACAGGAACTGAATATTTAAATGTATCTTCTCCAACAGGAAGATGTACTGGGCAGACTGGGGCAACCATCCAAAGATTGAAACAGCAGCTATGGATGGAACCATGAGAGAAACACTGGTGGAGGAGAACATCCAGTGGCCGACCGGTAAAACACCCTCTCACACCAAGACATAAACCTCCCGTTACTCCCCTGTAGGTGGTGCCAGAATCCAGTTGTAAAGACCTGGTTTATGACAAAGCGGGCTGTTACAACACTATTGCTTAATACTGGTGCTTAATCACCTGAGTCATTGCCTATGAATGTAAAGGAATACCCCTAGCACGTGAGAGTGAACTTACAACACTATTGCTTAATACTGGTGCATAATCACCTGAGTCATTGCCTAGACGGTCGGACTGTTAGGCAAGAGCACTAACCGCCCTGCCACTGTATGGCTGTTATCTTTACTACTAATTTGTTGGATGGATGGAAGGATGGATAGATAGATAAGTTAGTAATGTAAATCTTTGTTTTTGTAACCCCTAGTCTTGTCCTCACCACACAGGTCTGGCCGTGGACTACTTCAACGAGCGTCTGTACTGGGCCGACGCTAAACTGTCCTTGATCTGCAGCGTGAGGCTGAACGGCAGCGATGCAGTCGTGGCTGCAAACAGCATCAAAAACAGTTGAGTGGAAAACAGTGACTGTAGGGACCAGTTTGTAAGAACATGAATATCAGGACAGAGATGTGGAAAGAACATGTCCTCTCTGTTTCCACACAGAAGTCCACCATCCCTTCAGCATTGACGTGTTCGAAGACTACGTCTACGGGGTCACCTACATCAACAACTACGTCTTCAGAGTGAATAAATTTGGCAAAGGTCCCATTGAGAACCTGACAACCGGCATGAACCACGCCACAGATATAGTTCTGTATCACCGCTACAAGCAGCCAGAGAGTCAGTAGAAAAAAGAAAACCAAAATTATCATCTGTAATGAAACATGATCTGGATGTTTGGGTCTGATTTGAAAAAAACTTCTGCCTTTGTCAGTTACAAACCCCTGTGACAGGAAGAAATGTGAGTGGCTGTGTCTGCTGAGCCCCAGTGGACCGGTCTGCACCTGTCCAAACGGACGCACACTGGACAACGGCACATGTGTGGAGCTGCCCACTCCCACACTGTCTCCTGTCTGTGAGTGACCACACCAACCCCACACACACACATACACACACACACACAGTGACTTCAGGAACCTTAATCAATGACTTACCGAGCCGTCACATCATGCTCCACAGCTCCCCCTAGTGGTCCATGCCTGGTGCAGTGTATGAACGGTGGCAGCTGCTTCCTCAACGCCCACAAACAGCCCAAATGTCGTTGTCAGCCCAACTACGGAGGGGAACGATGTGAGATCGACCAGTGCAGAGACTACTGCAAGAACGGAGGCACATGCACACCGTCCCCTTCAGGTAGGAGTTGGACATGACAGGTCAATGTGGAAACAGTTGTTACAGTTATATATATATTTTATATATATATACATATATATACATATATACATATATGTATATATATATATATTTATATACATATATACATATATATATACATATATAAACATATATATATATATATACACATATAGGGTATTTGACTGATCACTACTTTCACCGTGGGGATTGATTTGTTGTCGTCTCCTGCTCTCTCATTTGTTTCTCTGCGTCTCTCCAGCCCAAAGGCAGGTTCTCTATATCGCGGACGACAATGAAATACGGAGCCTGGACCCGTCGATGCCAAACTGGCGCTACGAGCAGATCTTCCAGGGCGATGCAAATGTGCGCATCGACGCCATGGACCTTCACATCAAGACGAACCAGATTTACTGGACTAACTGGCACACGGGACGCATCTCCTCCTACGAGCTGCCCTCCACCTCCTCTTTCTCCAACAGCAATCGCAACAGACGACAGACTGAGTCACATGTCACGCACTTGGAAGTAAGTGGACTCTCGTCGGCCGTGTGAAACGTCATTCGGACGGTTAATGACTAGACCGGGGGTGTCAAACATACGGCCCGCAGGACAAAATCGGCCCTTTAGAGTGTTCAATCTGGCCATTTGATGAATTTTGAAGATGAAAAAAAAATATTTTGTGAAAATAATATTATTTCATTAAATACAAAGAAATAATAACAATAAATAATATAAAATACTTATTATTTATTACGGGGTGATTGTACTGGTCCGGCCCACTTGACATCTAATGAGTTTGACTCCTCTGGACTAAACAGTTATGGGATCCATTGTTCCAAATGAACCATGTAACTGTGTTTAGATCCCTGATCTGAAGATGCCCCGTGGCATTGCCGTGGACTGGGTGGCAGGAAATCTGTACTGGACAGACTCGGGTCGTGATGTCATCGAGGTTGCCCAGTTGGGTGGCGGACGCCATCGCAAAACCCTCATTTCTGGCATGATTGATGAGCCTTATGCCATTGTTGTCGACCCGCAGAGAGGGTTAGTGGGATTGAGAACGCCACATTGTAGATGTTTTTTTTAACTCTTACAGGAACTAAATATTTAAATGTATCTTCTCCAACAGGAAGATGTACTGGGCAGACTGGGGCAACCATCCAAAGATTGAAACAGCAGCTATGGATGGAACCATGAGAGAAACACTGGTGGAGGAGAACATCCAGTGGCCGACCGGTAAAACCCTCTCACACCAAGACATAAACCTCCCGTTACTCCCCTGTAGGTGGTGCCAGAATCCAGTTGTAAAGACCTGGTGCATGACAAAGCGGGCTGTTACAACACTATTGCTTAATACTGGTGCATAATCACCTGAGTCATTGCCTAGACGGTCGGACTGTTAGGCAAGAGCACTAACCGCCCTGCCACTGTATGGCTGTTATCTTTACTACTAATTTGTTGGATGGATGGAAGGATGGATAGATAGATAAGTTAGTAATGTAAATCTTTGTTTTTGTAACCTCTAGTCTTGTCCTCACCACACAGGTCTGGCCGTGGACTACTTCAACGAGCGTCTGTACTGGGCCGACGCTAAACTGTCCTTGATCTGCAGCGTGAGGCTGAACGGCAGCGATGCAGTCGTGGCTGCAAACAGCATCAAAAACAGTTGAGTGGAAAACAGTGACTGTAGGGACCAGTTTGTAAGAACATGAATATCAGGACAGAGATGTGGAAAGAACATGTCCTCTCTGTTTCCACACAGAAGTCCACCATCCCTTCAGCATTGACGTGTTCGAAGACTACGTCTACGGGGTCACCTACATCAACAACTACGTCTTCAGAGTGAATAAATTTGGCAAAGGTCCCATTGAGAACCTGACAACCGGCATGAACCACGCCACAGATATAGTTCTGTATCACCGCTACAAGCAGCCAGAGAGTCAGTAGAAAAAAGAAAAGAAAAAAAATGATCATCTGTAATGAAACATGATCTGGATGTTTGGGTCTGATTTGAAAAAAACTTCTGCCTTTGTCAGTTACAAACCCCTGTGACAGGAAGAAATGTGAGTGGCTGTGTCTGCTGAGCCCCAGTGGACCGGTCTGCACCTGTCCAAACGGACGCACACTGGACAACGGCACATGTGTGGAGCTGCCCACTCCCACACTGTCTCCTGTCTGTGAGTGACCACACCAACCCCACACACACACATACACACACACACACAGTGACTTCAGGAACCTTAATCAATGACTTACCGAGCCGTCACATCATGCTCCACAGCTCCCCCTAGTGGTCCATGCCTGGTGCAGTGTATGAACGGTGGCAGCTGCTTCCTCAACGCCCACAAACAGCCCAAATGTCGTTGTCAGCCCAACTACGGAGGGGAACGATGTGAGATCGACCAGTGCAGAGACTACTGCAAGAACGGAGGCACATGCACACCGTCCCCTTCAGGTAGGAGTTGGACATGACAGGTCAATGTGGAAACAGTTGTTACAGTGTGACATGTCTCACCGTCATTTCTGTTCACCTGCAGGAACTCCCACTTGTCGATGCCTGACGGGCTTCACTGGACCAAACTGTAACCTGCACACGTGTAAGAATTATTGCAAGAATGGAGGCAACTGCACAGTCAGTGCTGGGAATCAGCCGTCCTGCCAGTGTCCTGCTGAGTTCCTGGGTGAAAAGTGCCAGTACAGTGAGTGTCACGTTCGAATCCGTTGAATACAAAAACTGCAATATATCATGTCAGCAGTTAGCTTCCCATTCCTGGCCAGTAGGTGGTACTAAACATGCATATCTGGCATGTACGCATTTCAAGTCCTGGACTATGATTGAATGATTCTACAGGCAAAGTTTCCCTTCATTATTATGGGTTAATGCCTTAAAACATTTTTTATTATAAATGGCATTTTTATATATTTCTCATAATGACTCTTAATGAGTAATTAGTGTACACCTTTTTATTCATCATCGTTAATGCAGTGAGAGACAGGCTCCTCCAGGGGGGATTTAAAATTCAAGATATGTGGATTAATCAATCCTGCTAAGGTAATTAGCCGTGATTGAAATGTTACCAGCTTAAATATTTAAACAGCTCGCAATTGTGAACATGAAAAACAAATAAGAAACAGTTGTAAAATAGACAGATTTTTAATAACTAACTGGACTTCTGTTGGCTACTAATATTTGTAATTTTCAGATTTTTAAAAAATGTTTTAAATGTTTTACTCTTTTTGGGTCTGGGTCGTGATCATTGTGTACAGAAGTCCACAAGTCAACATTGTTCAATTAAAAACACCTAAAGACAGCAACTGTTGACCAAATTAAAATTGAGTCTGATGCCCTCCGGTGGCCATGGTGGAAAATTAAATTGATGTCAAAGACTGAAGAGCAAGTAAAGCCCTCCGGTGGCCATGGTGGAAAATTACTGTAAATTGATGTCAAAGAATGACTGAAGAGCAAGTAACTGCCTCACAGGGACTGGCAAACAAAAGGATGACAATATTGCCACAAAACCATTGAAACTGCAATTTGTTAAGTTCCTCTAAACTGTAATGGGCAAAGGAATGAAAATCGAAATAAATCCTCTCATCTGTCTGGTTTGTACTTGATGCACTCACTCATTCTGTCTGCCTTTAAACAGGAGGCTGTGAAGGCCACTGCCTGAACAAAGGCACGTGTCTTCTGAGTGAGAACGGCTCCAAGCTGTGCCGCTGTCCGCCTCAGTTCATGGGCAGCACATGTGAAATTGACAAATGCCACTATTGTCGTGACGGCGAGTGCATCCCCAGCAGCAGCTACTTTTCTGCGGGGCAGTTCACCTGTCGGTGAGTACACGTACAGAACACTGACATCAGCTGTGAACGTTCAACTCTCTGTTTCATCATGCTGTTGCTGTCTCCATTAGCTGCGCAAACGGCCGAGTCCAGCCCAGCTGTTACACATGTGACACAAATGAGTACTGTGCTAACGGCCAGTGCTCCCTAAACTCCCTCACCCGCCTCCCGGAGTGCAGGTAAGGGGAACAGGAGTTCTTTTTTTTCTTTTTTTTGCAACCCGTCTTTACACGTCAGCTGTAAGTCTGAATATACCAACGTCTGCTCGTGTTCACAGATGCTCACCGGGCTGGTCTGGACACCGCTGTGAATCTGTGGATGAAGAAGGTTCCTCAGCTTCAGGCGGACGTAAGTTGACAACCGTGAATCTGTTGTTGAAGGGTGTAGCAGTGTGTTTTTTTATAAACCTGCAGAAATACAAACAATATTGAAATAAAAACAATAAAATCGAATCTCTCTTTGGAGGTAATACACTGTTCTTATGACAAAAACAACGTTTCCCCACAGCATGTGTAAATAACAACTAGCACATCAACACAACAGCAATGGTGGTCATTCTGTCAAAATGTTTAATCTGATTGATTTTGCAAATTAATTAACGACAGTGACGAGTTCATCTTGACAGTCCTAGCTATAATATTTTGGGAATGTGCTGCAGTTATCGATGTCTAAAACATGAAACAAAAGATGATTATTTTTTTTAATCCTTGTCAAATATACACTCTATGATTACTATACAGTATAATGTGTTCCATCAACATAAACAGCTTGTCATCCCTAATATTTCACCTTTCACCGTTTTGTCCTGACCTGTGACTTTGTAATGTCATTCTATCCTATCACGTGAAGACTATTTTCCATGACTAATTTTATCTTCAGATAAAATTCCTGTTTGAAATAAAAACAATAAAATCGAATCTGTCTTTGGAGGTAAAACACTGTTCTTATGACAAAACCTTACCCACAATCTCTCTATGATGAAACTCAGTGTTTTTTTCCCTCTGAGTTTGACTTGGTGAGTTTTTGTGTTTGTGTCTGTGTCAGGCACGGCCTCCATCGTGATCCCTGTGCTTCTCCTGCTGCTGCTGGTCCTGCTGGCTGGAGGAGCAATGTTCTGGTACAAGAAGAGGATGAGAGGGTTAGTGACACTGCTACGTGTGTAAATAACAGCAGACACTGATCTCTTCTTTTTTTTCTGCCTTTGGGTTTTCTTTTATCTCTCTCTCTTCTTCCTGACTTCATTTTTTTTTTCATTTCCCTCTCCTCTCTGTAATGGCATCTCTTCTGCTCCTCAGGTCTAGCCGGCACGGCAAAACCGGCTCCAGACACTTGCGGTAACGGTTGCTAGGGTTACCTCTTATGTTTTGTACTGCCATTCTGTTTTGCATCCTTTTTCTCTCCCTCTCTCTGAAACTCTTTTGCTCTCCTGGTGCTCTTTGTCGTTGCCTCACCCATGAGTCCTATTGGCTGTGCAGTGTTTGGTCCTGTGTTGAATGTCGCTCCATTCTCTCTGATGTTCATTAGAGCTGGAGCCTGATCTGCTCAGTTTTGCCCCAGTCGTCTCAGCTCCAGGGCAGATCTATTGAAACGAGACATGTAATAGATCTGTCACTCGTTGTCCATTATATTGTGTCATGATGTTTTACACTGTAGTGCAGTGTCCTGTGCTGTGGTTTCGTACTGTGGTGCTGTGTTTCAATAGAGTAGCCTCAGATCGTGAAACAGCATTCTTCCAAACTGGAGTTGGAAAATGCAGCTACAAAGTTAGCTTTGATTTCGGTCTCCTTATGTTAAAGGTTAAAGTTAGCTTTGATTTCGGTCTCCTTATATTGTAGGTTTATTGTGGTCTTAAGATAAAACTCTTCCGAGTACCATTGATCTACACGAATACTACAGTAGGTTTGTGTAGGTGTTGCTGCTGTGGTACAGTGATATATTCCTCAGCCTCATTGTTGCTGTGTCCCTGCTTGCACTGTTTGATGACCTGTTTTAATTAGAGTTAAAGTCATGAGAGTGTGACACGACTGCTGTCACTCCCTGTAGGGCCAAGGGCTTCCAGCACCAAAGGATGACCAACGGGGCCATGAATGTGGAGATCGGGAACCCCGCCTACAAAATCTATGAGGGTGAGCCTGACGACGACGCTGGCGAGCTGCTGGACGCAGACTTCACACTGGACCCAGATAAGGTAGGAACAAACGTAAGTCAATACTCTACACTTTTCTGGAGACCCATATTTTAAATGTCATAAACGTTCGCGACTCAAGTCAATAGACATTATTCGTAAACTCCTGGGAAACATGATGCGAGATGACCCCAAAAAAAAATCTCTTGCGACCCACCTGAGGGTCCCGACCCAGTCTTTAGGAAACAATGATTTAAACCACTTGTACTGTAGCAGAACAAATCTTACAGTATTGTACGTCCTGCTCCTGTCTTTGTCACTGATCTTAAAATTCCAAAAACTGTTGACCTACTTCAGCGAGCTACGCATGAGAACAGTAAGACGGTGACCTACAGTAGGAAAAGACAGAACACTGACTGACTGGTGCGCAGCTGGTTGTGGAGAAAAGCCGTCACTGGATCGACACATTTTAGGGAACGAGTCGTAGTCATTGAATTGAAGTAACTGTGCAAGAAACTAAAGTACGTAAGGAAGTATTTTTGCTTTCTTTCAGCCCACTAACTTCACCAACCCAGTGTACGCCACTCTGTACATGGGAGGACACAACAGCCGTAACTCTCTGGCCAGCACAGATGAGAAGAAGGAGTTACTATGTCGTGGGGACGAGGAGCCCCTCGTGGACCCGCTGACATAGACTGTCCATCTGTCCATCACGCTATTCCAAACAAAACCCCTTTCTTGCCTTTGAATATATATATACGTACATATATATATATAAAAAGAAGTGCAACAAAAATTGATGATAAAAAGTGTGAGAGAAAATTGATTGAAAAAGAAGTGTGAACACTGTATAAAATGTACAAAATGAAGGACTACTTTTGTATGTGATTGCAGTATTATATTTTGTTCTTTTGAGATTCCTTCTGATCAAAAATGATTAACATTTTCTATGAGAGATTTTTAATTTACACTCTGTCCCTTACCCTTTACCCAAATAGCCACTACCTCTGTGCAAAATGAAATGGAAACATGAAAAATCAGAAGAAAAGATGCTATCATTGAAGCAATTTTAACTTTTTATTTTTGTATGAATTGTATAGAAAAGAAAAAAAAACCTTGTTCCATTTCACCAGTGCCAACTGTTTGTTGTTTGTGTTGACTTTGAGCGGGGAGGGCAGAAAGCTAAGTTTTTCCTAAATGGTACATACGTATGTGGTGAGACAGATTCGTGATTGCGCCGGTTGTGTACAGCACATGTAAAATGTTCATACAGTACCTGGTGGTAACTGCAGTAATCCCACGTTGTTTTTTTTCTCAGTGAACAATGTTCATGAAATGATTGTGTTGTCTTCCTTGCACAGAATATCACGTTTTATGGTATTGTGTATAATGTAGGCTTTTTTTGTTGTTGTTGTTTTGTTTGTTTGTTGTTACCCTAAAATGTAAAGCCGCTAGTTTGATTTTCTTACTTTGTTTGTCAGGTGAAGCTTGTGAAGCTTAGAGAAAGAGAATTTTGGCGATGAAGTGAAGAGAGAATGAGAAAGTTTGTGCTGTGTTAAACATTCCATGTATCTGATGGTGGTGGGCGGAGACCAGACGTGCAGAAATACTAGTGCAGATGAATGGCCTTATTTGTGGGTAGGTTACTTGAAGGGCCTTAGCAGGTAAACACAATTAGCTGTCTGCTACGGAGCTCTTCCTCCAGGAGGAAACAGAAGTGGCAATAATGGTAAAAAAAAAAAATGAAGAGGAGACATTATTAAAGTCGGGTTTTATGTCTATTTCTCCATTACTCTGTAAAAAACCACATAACATTCGTCCGGCTGTGTAGCTTTATCTTGTTACTCTATGAGGATTAACGTTGTGTACGTCGACAGTTTTGTATTGACTTGGTCTTAGGTTCGTATTATCCTCAACAGTTACCTGTTCTTACCCAGCTCTCTCTCTCTCTCTCTGGTCTCTCCTGCTCCGCCCCGCTGCTGCTAAACGCTGCCACCCTGGACGCTCTGACACATCCTTACACTTAAGCCTAGCTTATGCTCGACGCTAAGTACGAGAAATACGGAACCCGGGTTCGTCAAACTCGCAAGTTGGTACGTTTTCTGAGACTTTGCGGATTACAGGAAACGGAGCAGTACCACTAGAGACCGTGGGGGCAGTGTTGCGAGAAAACTCACACGAGCGCCCATAAAAAGAACAGCAACAATATGATAGAAGACAGAATAACGATAATCTACATACCGCGCTATATTTATTGTCCGCCCAGACCAACTTTCGTCTCCTGCGCTGCCCTTGTTAAGACAAATCTTTTTCTGAACATGAACATTATCGTGACTTCCTCCACCGTCGCCTCCAAATTGACACCAAACCGGAAATGCATTCGGACCTCGGCACTTTCCCCTAGTCTAGTGGATGTATTGCTTACAAACCATATCCAACTTAAGGTGTTTAGTTTTGTTTTTTAATTGGCGTCAAGCTGGCATTTTTTGTCAGTATCCAAAATAAAAAAGTAAGAAATTGAGAAATAAAATGAACTGTAAATACAATTAAAACGCAATAGCACAAATAAAACAGTGACGTATTTACGTACTGTATGTAAACAGAGCATAAGCTAGGCTTTACCCTCTCTCCAAAAATGCTGCTTCTGTCAGAAATGTGTCAGCCATATCTGAATGCATGTGAAAAGTTCACATTTTTTAACACGTCAATAACTTTTTCTTTTCAATTCTGCTTACCCGTCAGCGCACGACCCTTCTGCTGTTGCATATGTTGTGTCTTTAATTGAGAGACGTACAATCATTTTACCTAAAGGACATTTTTGCAAAAATCATACGTGCATTTCCAGACTTTTTGATTAGTCCATTTTTTAAAACAGAAATGACACATAGCTTTTGTAGTACTCAATGCATGGAGGCTCAGACTTTTTCCTGGAAAGAGACTAATGTTTAATTTTTGCTGGAGTACTTTACAGACAAAATAACAGATATTGTGATAAATAAAATTTTAAAACTTGTACAGAAGATAAACCCAGTGTCTTTTTTCCCCCTGTTTGGTATGTCTTTACCATTAGACATTTGTGAGTTTTTTTGTTTTTTGCCTATTTTTTCTGTAAAATATTAAGCTGCTCTACTGTATGTGGTTACTGTCATTTTCCTTTCTTAAAAACTAAAAAAAAAAAATTTCCCGGCGGACAAATACGGACTGCAGGCACGCCTGTCCAGTGGACACACATTTACAAAGCTTTGACCTGGTGAAAAACTCATTGAAGTATATGTTTTGATCCCCATTTTGCTTCTCCATGTCATAGTTAGTAATCACTGCACATTCAGCAGCTGTTTCCGCCCTTGGTCAATAAAAGAAAATCCTGATTAGGTCCTCATTTCTGATAGTAGCTTTCTTGATTTGAAAACCATTGTTTTTGACAATACAACGTCAAGAGACACAATTCAATTCAGTTCAACTTAATTTAAAGCTTTATTCAGATTTTTTCCCCCTGCATTTTAACAGGTAAACAGCATTGCTTCACGAGTATTTGGGTAAATGCTACTCTGCTATTGTCGCAGTTGTTGGCAGAGTCTTCACAGATTTTAAACAGACTTGGCATGTACACACAGAGACAAATCAGCCGACTCTGTATGGTAATTAAAGACTGGAAATCATGCACTTAAACCAACAAAAGATGAATAACTGAATGCATTAAACTCTTGTTTAATGAGGCAGCAATTCACGAGTAAACAATCACATCAGCTGGGTTGATAATCAGATCGCAAAAGTCAATTTAATCCAGCTTCGGCTCAAAAGTGTCCATCATGTCTGATTGACTGCCCCCCAGGACTGCTCAATTCTTTTGCCCTCACACACTTGTTTTCTATGCCAACTTGCCCCGCTGCCTGTCCACAGCTGGTGCAGATTTGTGCAGACTTTGTTGTTGACAATTGTTGGTTAAATTGTGCAAAAAAAATGTGGTTAATCAAAACAAAATCAAAACATAGTTTAATAAACTTACAGAGTAGTCGTCACTACTGTCACATCTTATATTAAAACTATACTTTCATCAAAAACCCCGGCTAACACTTCACACAGAAACATGCAACAATAGTAATATCCATTCTTAGCAAAAGAAACAACATACAAATTCAACTAAATGCAATCTTTTAAATTGTATTTTCACCATTTCTTCTTAAATTGATATGGTGGCGGGTACCAACCCCAGCCATATGGATCAAAGTTCACTGGATGCCTTTGGCCTTTAGCTCTTCTCTCACCCTGCTCAGGTAGGAAGGGTCAGGATAGCCAAAACTGGTGAGACAGAATTTAAGAAAGGTTTTAGGACAGTATTTCAGGAAACCCCACACTGACAGAGTAACTAATAAAAACGTGGTTATTGTACCGTTCTGGTCCTCCACTGATTGAAGTTTTGTGGTGTATGTCGTTCCAAGTCACCTGGTTTTCCAGCCCAGTTGTTCTTGACGTCCCGACAGTAAAAATAAGCTGCTGGTTAAATGCTTTCCTCAAAAGCATCAGCACTTCATTACCGTCATTGTTGTCTGGCAGATATGCTGTCCTACTAATACCATGGTACTTCTGTCCCGGGTTTGGATGTTTTGTCTGCAAAGGTTCAATGATATTAATATGTATGAAAACAAAACAATGAATCCAGTGTCTATAAATGTCCAAATGAGAACATTTACCGTCTGTGTCCCGCTTGGAATGTTATAGTTAATGGTTATTGTTCCGCATCCTGGAAAACCAGGTAGGGAAGAGGAAGTCTTGTTCGATGTCATTTTTCCAACAGGCTGGTTTCCCACTACTATTCCATAGACATCTTTGCACAGCGGACATATGGGCCCATTGCTATCCATCGAACGTTGCAGACATCCGTCACAGAATTCATGCTTACAGTTGAGCTGTTTCTTATTGGTGAATTTGTCCAGGCATATGGGGCAGTTGTCGCCCTCATCATTTTTTGATTCTTTGGTGCTCAATTTACATATGTCATGGCTGGGTCCCTGCATCCCACTCAGCTCTAGTCCACCGACGGCCCCCTCTGACTGATGCTCATAGCTTTGCTGCATCCAGATGTTTACGCCACCAATGTCGTGGCTTTGCTTTGACCTCATGTGCGATGTTACAAATTTCTGGTACAAACGAAGAAGAGCTCTTTGAGCATGGCTCTCCATGGCAACGTTCCCATCACTTCTGTGCAAGGCCATGATGTCTACATTTCCTCCGATGGTGTTTGTTTCTATCAGGTCCACATTGAACTTTGTTTTGATTTCATTCAGTTGTTCCATAAAGGAGTTCCTCATATAACACCATCGATTCAAGTCCATGGAGAGACCAGTTTTAACAAGTGGGTCGTTGATCTTCATCCCAATCGTCAGTTGTTTGTCAGTAGAGGCTGCTGAAGGAGTGGTGTTTATCGTGGCGATCTTGTTTCTATGTAAACATTCCTTCACGGAGTCTTGACTGTGTTTGGGCCCACATACTGTAACTTCTTGAGAGGAAATGGTGAGAAAAAGCTTGTTCTCATATTTCTGGATGATGTTCAGTATGGTGCTACAGTCTTCTGGAGCCATGGTTTTGAACGGAACAACAAAGCCATTGGATTCCGTTATGGAATTCTGAACTAGATTAGTGAACTCACTGCGTGCCTTCTTCAGATCTGCATATGGGTGTTTTGGTTTAAAATTCACTGTCACCTCTGATTTAATCTCTACTCCATTATCTTTCTCAATACATTTCATTTTTTCTCCGTAGATCTGGTTCACATACCAGAAATGTCCAACAGAAACACTGCAGCTCCTCAGCTCTTCTTCTGCTTCCTTCATCATGGTCATTGCCAAACTGATTATCTGGCTTTTTTCCTCTGTTTTTTTTCCCTCCTGGAATAAAAATAAAATCATTGTTTTGTTTTCTCTAGTAAACAGTAGATATTAGTAACACAGTAGATGTTCTGCACGACTCACTTCTTGTTGATCGAGAGAAGAACTGGGTGGTTTGAACTGTGTTACTGTGACTGATATGTTTCCTTCTTTGTTGGTCAGTGTTTGTCCATACAGGTTATCTAAACACGTTTGGTCTAAAAAAAAAAAAACATGAATTAAATTCTCAATAACATTAGGATGACATTTTATAAGCATTATTAAAAAAAAAACATGAATTAAACTCTCAATAACATTAGGGTGACATTTAGTTATGCATTACACCTAAATTATAAGCATTATTTTCAAATATTATTAGTAGAAAAAACTTAAATCTTAAAGGGGACACATTATGCTTTTTAGATGCGGCTCATATGGTTCCCTTTAAGTTGTAATTAACCACTGCATGCTCCTCCCTCCTCAACTACAGGGATAGGAGGAGACCAGACAACAGCTTCTTGTAACAATGGCAATGGTTGACCAGCGAGAGAGAAATGGCTGCCAGTAAACAGGCTGATTCTGACAGGCACATGGTCAATTGAACATTTTCCCAGCATCAGATAACTAACTGTGGTCCAACCAGAGTCAGAACCAGAACCAGATGAATATCGAGAGCTAAGAATTAACCTGAAGTTTTGGCAGTGGATAGTAACTTCACACAAATATTAGTAAATTCAGTATAATATGCCCCCGTTATTATAAAGTGTACCTTTAGCAGGCCTTATAATTATCTGAGCAGTGTCCTTTGAGGCATTAACAACGTCAAAGTTTATGTGCAATGTGTTCTTGTTGGCCCAACTCTGAAGGATTTTCTGGAGGTTTCTTTTATAGTTTGATTCTTCAATCATCCCTGACCAGTTGATGGACAGTGGGAGAGAAACTTGATCTTTGTCCTGTAAAAAAGTCACAAGAAATTAGAAACTATTATTGATATTTAGAATCATGTGATCTGAAACACGATCCCAAGGTAAAAAACATTTGTCATCCCAGCAACCAACGCTGCATCCGGTAGTTTGCCTTTTTAAATAGTGCCACCAAGTGGATAACATACCACTTGACATACAAATGCACTGTGGGAGCTTAATTATTAACACAAAAGGAACTAAACTGAAGAATAGAAGTGAAAAATAAAATGTCTTTTTTAAAATCAATTTTAGGCCTAAACACTTTCTCAAGTATAGTACATTTCTTCTTTTTTTTTGTAGAATTCTGAGGGGTTTCTTCACACCTGTCAGCAAAAATTAAAGTACAGATATTTATTCAAGTTCAGTTTGTTATATGTGAAGAATATTACAACTGTCTTAGAACATTTTGACTTTAACTTCAAATTCCTAGAATTTTAGGAATGAGACCAACTTTGTGAATATGTGACCCCTGCTGTAAAAGATTGTTAGGCCCCTCCAAGTACTGAGCATGAAGAAAAAGGGACAATAAAGTCCCATCAAATCACTCACTTGATCAGGCCCAACAGATGATGCTGGAGGGTTAGGGTTAGGTCTGCTCCAGCCATCCTGATGGTGCATCTAAAACAAAAAGGAGAAAGTTAATGCTTTAATAATTCAGAAAATAAAAAATAAAAAACACGTTGTGGCCAGGATGTTATGAAATACAATCTAATTATGACTTTAAGGATCTGCCCTGTAATCTTAACAGTTTCAAAACCAAATAAGTCATCACGTTGTGTAACATTTAATTATTACAAATACATCAGTAAATGGCTAGCTGAGGTCTGACAGATGCGGAAATCTCTACCACAATATCTCTGTGTCCATTAAAAAACAATAAAAACAAAAAATAAAAAACTCTACTCACATTGTCCACAGGCATTTCGCCGTTGCTCGCCATTCTGGCCGTCTTATTACTTTAAGACAATAACATTAATTTATACACAGCCTGCCATTGTTAAAACAATTGTTTGATATAAAGTGTAATTACAAAATATCAACATTACATGGCTCGACTTCACTTTCGGTTACAACACAGAAACCAAATCTACAGAATACTGCAGCATGGGTTTCATGTTTATTCAGCGAATTTGAACCAAAAACAAGTTCGCAGCCGATGTTACAACACATAACGTTTTAAAATCACAAATGTGCTTACAAATAATGACAACAAATATGACTTACGGGTTGCCTTCTGCGAGCACGAACTCGGCTTCCACCTGGTAAACGAAAGTAAAAGTGTTGTCGTTTTACGAAGTGACGTCACCGAAGGTTTTTTTATATATATTATATATCACATTCTAAACTGAACATCTGTAAGGTTTGTGTCAAGCACGTAAGGTGAGCAAAATTCCTTAAAAACAATCGCGGAAAGATCATTAAATGAGTCGACTTTTAAAGGCGGATCGCGTTGCAAAATATCGCGAGATTTCCACCAGGGACTCGACTCAACGTTTTCATGGCTCTGGTGAATGTACATGTATTTGATAAATAAAACGCTGAGTTTAGCGCTTGTCATATGTTAAATTACAAACAGTATGTCCAGATAAGTCGGGACAAAATGCACTTAAAAAATATTATTTAATAACAACATAAACGACTAAAACAGGGGTCACGACTGAGTCAAGTATTGTGTTAATTTAATTAAAAGTTTCAGTTGGAAATGAAGATACAATAATGCCATTCCAAACATTTTCAATTGAAAACTGTCCTCAGAAGAAAACTCGTGTCGGACCTTTAGAACTGAACTGTCTTTCACGCAGCTATCGTTTTTTTTTTACACCACTATTAAATGTAAACACGGTTTTAACTAAACAGCCGATTATCTGTCGTAGTTAATTAGTTCATTGTTACCTTTTCAAAATATTCGGTGAACGCCCTTTTCATCTTTACTTTTCGTTTGTCTGAGCTTTTTTGTCAAGTGTTGAAGACGTCGATTTTAGAACTGTTGTGTTAGAACTGAACTGTTAACTGAAACTAACATCTTTTAACTTCCTTATAATTTAACGTTTCAGGTCATTATCAAACTGGAGTAGAACTTACATATTCTGTCGCACATGTTTAATGCATCTCACATCACAAAGCTAATAATTTTAATTTATATATTAGTACTGAACACGAGGCCAAAATGCGTCTGACTTGACAAATGTTAATGTAGTCCATTATTACACAGACACGATGGTGAAATGTGCACAATCTTTTTATTTTTTTCATCTTTCAACAAACTGTATCTGGTCCACCATTTTTTCGAATATATATATATATATAAAATAATGATTACTACTATGTAACTTAGGTGCGAGAAACACATATATCTTGTGAAAACCAAACACTTTTAAAAGCTATTTCAAACTGAAATATAGCAGAACATTGTAACATACTGTCTTTTTCCGTGTGTCTTTGCTGTGATCTTAGCAGGTCGCACAATAGACTTAAAAATACTGAAAGAATATGACAAAAAATAAAATAAAATAAAATACAAAAACATCACTGTAATTATGATTAAAAAACACTCTGTAACAACAACAACAAAACAAACACAACATTCTTTCTTCTTCTGTTCGACTTCAATTTCCTCTAGTGATTCTTCAGTCATTTCTTCATAAGGTGAATTAACGTTCAGTCTAAACAAACATGCACTTCAACTCCGTCAGCCCAGCTCCTTCAGCTTCCTTATCTTTGGTGAGATTGTTGACGATTATGAATATAGAGTGCAATTCACTTTTCATTTTTATTTGTTCTGACAGAAAAAGCTGAGTGGATACAGGTGAGGCTGCCACAGAGGCACTGTTTGTACGTAGACGTTAGCAGGAGAAGGCATCAGTGTGAGTCGCAGCAACGGCACGGCGCCAGGGAGGTTGATGACATCATCACCAGCAAGCAGAGTGATTATTCAGTTTCGTCCTTCAAGGTGAACCTGTAACATGATTTAATGACAATCAAGTTATAAAACAGATAAAACATTAAACACATATATATATATGCACCTGCTGTTGATCAGGAAGAAAGACAGAGAATTTGAGTGTTTGGTCTGAATTTTTTTTAAAGCTAAACTATTAATAAGACCCAAATAAAACATTGTTTTTTAATATTATTTTGCATTAGTCAGCAGCACATCAGTAGCCCCACCACATAACTATTAATAAGACCCAAATAAAACATGTAATTTTTTAAACTGCATTAGTCAACAGCACATCAGTAACCCCACCACATCATACACCAAATAATTCACTTTTATTTATTTTATTTATTTTTACTACAACATATTAACCAAATGATATAACCATGTAACTACTCTTAAGATAACAAAACTCACCATTCTGTGACTCCAGATGTTAGGTCAACTTGACCCAACTCTATCAGGACCTGCAGACCAAAAGACATGTTAACATCTGTTTAAAAAAACATTTTTTTCCTTACCTGTTTTGTATATAATGTTTATTTGCGCCACCGAGATTAACACTAAAACTATAATTTGTTTAACTGATTTAATTTTCATCTTTGGTTTTTGGCACAGTCTAAAACAAACAGAGAGGAAATGAACAGCCCTAACTGACAACTACAAAGCTCTGAGAATATTCTATGGAATATTGCAGGCTTGATTGATTCTCCTTGTTGATAAGAGTAATAAAAATGATAGATAATTGTGATTGATTATTTTTATTGACAGCCCTTGTAATTAAATGTGATATTACCTGGCGTCCTTCTCCAAAAAGGCCTCACAAATTATTAGGAGAGCTTTACCTTTAAAGTGAGTTTTTTTTTTTAAGCAAATGAAGATGTTTCAGAACCTGCTGCATTAACAGACAGTAAGGACTGTTGTGAAAGAGATATGTTTACTGACTGTCTGCTATTTAAAGCCCAGGACGGGAGTGTCCTGTTGGCTGATCTGCATTGTCTCCACATCAAATCTCACTATTTCTAACTCACACTGACAGAATGGAACCTCTACGTGTTTGATGTCATATAACAAACATGTAAAAAAAGCTCAGCCTCGCACTCACCTGTCCGATGACGTCTTTGCTTCTGAAGGAGGCGGAGTTGTTTTTCACCGACACACTGAGTCGTCTGAATCTTAGCTCGTCCACGGTCAGGTTGTACTCAAACCTCAGATTAGACACAAGAAACAATTTAACGTGAACTGTGAGACTCAAAAAGACAAAGAGGAAAGAAAAATCTCTTTACCTCTCATTATACTCCGGTTGGACGTCCTTCTTCTTCACAGCTGTCTTCCTCTTGGTGGCTTTGCTTTTATCCGGCAGCAGCATGAGCGACACATAGCTGTCTGTACCAGAGGCAAGACCTCTGCTCATCAAAAATAAAAAAAATAAAAAATTAACAGTTAAAATGTTGTTAGGTTTAGTAGGATTAGAGTTGTATATTTCCAGTGTATCTAAAAAGTAATAAACATAATAAAAAAATATTGAGTCCCTTATCCGTTCCACAATGGGAAAATTTACAGTATGAGTCTTTGCAACTGACACAGGCTGCCACAGGAGGCGCCATTAAGTACGTGGTTGCAACTCACAGGCTGCTGCATGGGAGGAGCCATTTGTGATACATGGTTCCTCTGGGAATCAAACCCAACATTTCCTGCACTTTGCTTGCGAGGCAGGTGTGCAAACCACTTTACTATGGATCCACAGAATCCCTGGAGTGAACACAATCCTGAGTGGCCCTGATGCAGCAGCCTATTTGGAGGACACACACACCTGCAAGCGTGGACGACGACGATGAGCTTTCTTTCTTGAGAGGTGTACGACAGAGACAACTTCACCTGCCCGTGCCCGTCTCTACCTCCAGAGGCAGCGCAGGGCAGAGTCCCTGCACTGATCATGTCCACCATCTTTGATTCCAGAATCTATTGATAACAATAGAACAGCATCAGGAGGTGAACCTCTTTTGTAAGGCAAGCACACTGACCCTTCTTCCACCAACCTTCAGTTCTGCCCTCAGTAAGATCTGGCTCTGAGACAAGGCTCCATCCAGAGGCAACCACTGATCCAGAGTCAGCTGTGGCTCCGCAAGAAGTGACCTGACAGGAACCACGACAGACCCCATTGGCTGGTCCCAGCCACTTGACAACTGCAGGGCAGGAACGCACATTCAAAGACTTGATGACAAACTGGTAAACTTTGATTAAAATGCTACAGTAAAATCTGAATGTTCTATTAATACTGGGCCACTTTATACCTTTACTACCAGCATCTGCTGTTTAGGGTCAAGGACCATGAAGTAGAAGGACTTGTTCCACTCAGGGCTGGTACTGCGATCACACAACTATGAAAGGACGCATGGTTACGTTGTTAAATATATTTAAATATATTTATATTTATATTTAAATATATATAAGTTCCTTCTCCCACAGCATAAGGAAAGCTTTGGTGGAAGAATTCTTACATTGGTTTTGTATGACGTTCCACCCAAACTGAGCTCAGCTCCAGCTTTGGGTTCCTTTCCACTTTTCTTTAGCTGATAGGACAAAAAAATATGCTATGAAGTTTTGTCATGGAAGGAAGGATTTTCACACACAATGCAGTGATAAACTGGCGTCGACCTACAGGCAGTGAATGTGCTCCCTGGATATGAACGAAGAGCAGAGCCGCGTGAGGTACAGTCTTGTTCTGAAACGTCTGGAGTGACTGGAGCTGCAGCACCTGTGACACGGAGCACATCAGGAAAAAGGCAGTTATATATATACAGTATATTCACACACATATATATGTATATGTACATTTATACATATATATGTGTGTGAATATATACATATATCAGAAGGTAAAATCATTATATAAAGAGTCACCTCATCAAGTCTGACTGAGTTGGACACAGTAGGGACCCACTCCACTATCAAGTGGACTCGACCAGACTTGACATCATTAAGTGTATACCACTGAAAAAAGGGAGTTAAAAGTCCTTCATTATAGAGCATTTAAAAAACAACAACAACAACAGCAATTAAAAAAACTACAGCATCTGAGAACGTGTTGTTGACTGACCTGATCTAAATACTGTGAACTCAGGACCTCACTCAGATTAATACTGAACCTATGAATGAAAGAACAAACATTAAATATATATATATATTAATTTAAATAAACATGTAAATGATCAGTAGAGTTGAAATTTTTATTTAAAAAAAAAGAAATAATTCTCATGCATTTAAAAACATCTCAGGTGGACAGGCCTATAGTTGGTGCAGCTCATTCATCGACACTCACCGGCCCAGGAAGTCATCAGAATCTATGTCCTTATCAAAAACTTCAAACTTGATCACATGGCTGTGGTTTCCACTTAGAACTGTCTGTTAAACCCACAAGAAGAAAAGGGTCATTTGTCCAAAATAAATGTCTTTCACAACAGATTACAAAAACATGAGTTGGACCGGAGACGTTGTTTCATACCTCGTACATTTCATTCCACGTCGGGTTGAGGTTCTCTTTGATGCACTGACTCTTAAATGAGACCCCACTTATGTTGATTTTGACGTAGGGGTCACTCTTGCCCTTCACCATGCCTCCCATCAGGTTGTCCTTGGCAACAAGGTTGCTGGCCTCAAGCAGGTGAATCCTCAGCACCCCCTGCAGGTTGAACGATGCAATTGATTGAGTTTCAGTTTATTTGGTAATCCTGGGAATCTTGAATATAACATGTCTATAGTCATTTTCCAACTACTTAAATTAATTACATGTATCAACTTGGCATATGATTATAATTCTCTATTTTTATCTCTATTTTATTTCTATATTAACTTACATTTGCCATCTAACTACATACATGTTTTTAAATATTTGTTTTAAAATATATATTTATGTATATCATCTAAAACAGGGGTGTCAAACTAACGCGTGTGTTTAAAGTAGTAAGAAAACTATTGAATGAATATTTGAATCAAAAGAAAAGAAAAAAGAAGAAAAAAAGAGGCTTCCAGATGGATTATTCCAGCATATTCATTGTTTTACCTTTAGAATATTTGAATCAAAAGAAAAGAAAAAGAAAAAAAGAGGCTTCCAGTTGGATCATTCCAGCATATTCATTGTTAGATATCTACCTTATAAATTATAAACCCACCTCTCGACCAAAGTCTTTTGAAGGAGTGGTGTGTGGTGGAAGAACTTCAGAAGGTTCCAGAACGTCTTTGTGTTCTGCTGGTGCCAGGGTTTTAGCAGGAAGACCAGTCACTGTGGCTTGAGCGAGGTTACCCAGACCAGACCTACATTAAACCACACACACACACACACACACACACACACGCAGAGTGCAGGATGTAATTAAAAGTTTAAGTTGATTACACACCAACGACTATGTGATTATGGGGTAAACGTGCAGAGCAGAGCTTACTCTTCTGTTTGCTCCTCCTGTGGTTTAAACGGCAGTGATGGAGGCTGCTCCACCTCCGCTGTCGCCTCCTCCATCTGGGCAAATTTACACATCATATTAAGGAGGTGCAAATGTGAAATGAAGAAGAGAAAACATGAGGAAACTGGTATGTGGTGCAACGTACAGCAGCGGAAGGAAACCAGTTGTCAGACGTAGTTCTAGCTGCTGCTTCAGGCTGTTGTTCTGTAACGGATCTAAACACAAACAAACACCACGTCATCACAGATACTGTTGTTATCTCTTATTAGTTACAGTTGCGATGCATATTTGAAGAGCACTCAAAGCATGACATGAGAGGACGCCGTGCAGGAACACGTCATCTCCAACACTCACTCATCTGCGACGTTTTCCTCTCTCTCAGCTGCTCTAAACACCTCCTCCCTGCTGGACACCGTCTCTGCCTTCTTGGGACTCGTAACAGAAGGCTGTGGAGCTTCAGTCATCCTGGAGCTGAGGATCTGTCAACGGGATTTCAGTAGTTGTTCAACTGTTGATCCAAGTCAGTGGTAGTATAACGTCCTGGCTGCTCCGTGTTCTCGTACCTTTAGTTCAGCCCTCAGCAGGATCTCACTCTCGGGGAGAGCGCCATCCAGATGTAACCACTGGTCCAGGACCAGCTGTGGCCTGGAGAGCAGCTCCCTCACAGGGAGAACCAGAGATCCAATTGGCTGTTCCCAAGCACTTGACAACTACAGAGGTTTAACAACATTAGAATCACCATATATACTGTATATATATATATATATATACATATATATATTATATTTATTTATATATTTTGTATATACCTTTATGACCAGCATCTCCTCTCTGGGATTTTGAACCATGAACAGGAATGACTCATTCCAGTCTGGTGATCTGGAGCGTTCACACACCTTCATTAGAGAAAAGAATGAAAAAAAAAAAACAGAAGGAAAAAGTCTGTCATGGTAGATTGTTTATATAAATTCCTTATTCCTGATATGGTATTACAGTAAACCAGTTCCATTCCTTTAACCTCAGCCATCTCACCCTGGTTTTGTATGTTTTGTTTCCAAACACAAGCTCAGCTGCAGCCTTGGGCTCCTTCCCACTTTTCTTATACTGTAAATACAGAATAATAACACAGGAGTTGTGATGTACTGTCATAACAGCAGTTACTACTCTCTGTACTCTCTACAGTACTGAGAACTTACAGGTAATGAGTGAGCTCTGTCCAAATAAATGAAGAGAAGAGCTGCTGACGGACTGGCCCTGTTCTTGTAGGACTGGAGGGACTGAAGCTCCATCACCTGCAGCAAACAATCCACATTAAAAAGGTCAGCAGATTCTATTTGATTTATTTCTATCTTAATCTACTATTTTTACTCTTTGTATATATATTTCCATGCATGGAAAGGACGAAAAAGCACTAACTTGGCCTAAAGTGTCATCACAGGACAACGCTGGGACCCACTCTGAAATCAGACGCACGCGTCCAGACTTCACGTCGTTTAAGGTGTACCACTGAAACAAAGACACGTAGATCCAGGGTCAGAGTCGGTGAATGCAGCAGAGGATCACACGCTGTGTCGCTAATCACCGACCACTCACCTGGGCTGTGGACTGAGACCGAATGATGTCTGCCACACTGAGGCTGAATCTGTTTACAGATAAAAAAAAAAAAAGATAAAGACACAGAGGAGAGAAGGAAAAAATATAAAAAAAAAAAAAAAGATAAAGACAGAGGAAGGAGAGAAGGAAAAAATATTTTTTTTACATAGATCCAAGTGAACAACAGTAAATACTGTATGTCTCCAGCTGATTAATGTCCATTAATCATTAGTCATGATTAATGGTGATCATAGTTATTCACAATTAATCATGATTAATTGATAAATTGAGATTGAAAATGTTAATAGTTCGACAGCCCTATTTTTTAAAAAAAACACAAATGTGAGTGTACGACTCTCACCTGCCCAGGAAGTCGTCTTTGTCCATGTCTTTGTCATACAGTTCTACCTTCACCTCCTGTCCAGGCTGGGGTTTCAGAACTTTCTGTGAGAGTAAAGCGTATTCGCCACTGGTTATGACACAAAGGATTTATTTGTTATGTTTAAAGATACGTAAAATCTTACGTCCGTGTCTACACACCTCATACATTTCATTCCAGAACGGGTTGAGATTCTCCTTGATCACGTTACTCTTAAACATTTCCTCCCCAACGGTGATGTTTGCGTAGGGGTCGCTCTTGCCTTTCATCATACCGCCCATTTTGTTGTCTTTGGCAACCAGATCCTGAGCCTCCAAGAGGATGAGTCTGAGCAGGCCCTGGAAGGACAGAATTTAAAAATCAATTTCAAATTTCTTTCTTGTATTGTGTGTCACAGTGTGAGAGTCCACTACCTCGGAGGCGAAGCCCAGGTCTGGAGACGTATGAGCGGGGCGTGTTACAGCAGGGCTGGATGGCTCCTCAATCACGTTAACCTCTTCGTTTACGTCAGCATCTTCCTGCAAAGTGGATGAAGAAATGGTCTCCACGGTAGGAGTGTCAGCTGAACTTGACCTTTAAATGAAGAACAGCAACAGTGACGCAAATATGCTGTCGAAGCAGTGACTCCGGGTCACATGATGACAGAGAAAGCTGAATGTCTCACCTCTGTGTGGTTTCTGGTTCGGGTTTTTTCTGGGCAGGGGAAGGGTCTGACACTAGAGTGACCCTGGCTTTATCAGTGGCACCGGGACATTTGCTAGGAATCAGCAGCTGTAGGTGAAGTCACATTATGGTTAGTTAAGAAGCTTGGTTATGGTGATTATATCACACCTAATCCGAAATGACCACAAAATTTGACTTACTCTTTTGACTAAATAGTAACATAGTCTAATTTAGTCCAAAAAGTTTTTAGGTCAACAGATTTAAAAATTATTTTAGTTGACTAATAACTAGGCAATATTTAATATTTTCATGTCTAAATTTACTAAACATCTGTTCACAAATCTTTCATAGCTTGGTTCCTCACCTTAAGTTCAGCTCTCAGGAGAACCTGACTCTCTGGTGAGGCTCCATCCAGATGAAACCACTGGTCCAGGACCAGATCTGGTTCAGACAGCAGCTCTCTAAGAGGAACCACCAGAGAACAGATGGGTAGAGTCCAGCTGTGGGAGAACTGCAAACACAAGACAGAAGGTAATGAATAAGTTTACCTTCGTATCAGTACCTGAAGTAGAGACATGGAGTACTACTACCTTAACAAGAAGAATATCTTCTCTGGGATCTCGGACCTGGTAACTGAAAGCCTCATTCCACTGAGGCGCTGTGGTGCGTTCACAGACCTTTAAAAAAAAGATTGGTGGTCAGTTTAGAGAATACTTTTAATCATAGTATTATTGGAATTAAAACATGAAATCACTACTCACTGTAGTTTTGTGAGATGTTTTTCCAAGAATAATCTCTGCTCCCACTTTTGGATCCTTTCCACTCTTTTTGACCTACAGAGGGATAAATGGGACAATGATGGTCCTTAACAAGTCCCGGCTGCAGAGGTATGAATCACTGATTATTGAAGTACTCACTGGTAAACCATCTGCCTGTTCGATGTACACAAAGAGCAGAGCAGTGGAAGGAACTGCTTTGTTCTGGTACGACTGTCTGGAATGGAACTGAAGAACCTGAAAAACACAGGAGGAAGTCATTAGTATGTGCTGTTACACAGCCTGGTACACAAGGTCTCCAGACTCAGACTGGAAATACTGACCTGGTCCAATCTGTCTGAGTCTGAGGCTGTCGGAACCCAGTCCAGAATTAAATGAACTCGGCCCGATTTCACATCACTGAGTGTGTACCACTGATGAACAAAGAAGAGACGAAGGACACGTTTACTCCTAGTGACAGATGAAGTACTTCAGTACTTCAGTACCAAATGTTGTTTCCTTCAGATAGTTAATCCCTCCTTAGGTAAGAACGTTCTCACCTGATCAGTGTACTGAGATTCTATGATGTCTTTCAGATTTATCTTCAACCTGAATGACAAAAACTGAGATTAGACGCCATCTTTATAAATCTTTTTTTTTTCAGTTTGTGAAAACGTGTGAAAAATCACCTTCCCATGAAGTCGTCCTTCATGTCCACGTCCTTGTCAAACACTTCTATAACTAGCTCCTGGCCGGGCAGTTCGGTCAGAATCACCTGCAGGGTTAAGGTTATTATTGTTATTTATTTGTGAACAAAAAAAGCAAAGACAAACCAATTCAGTTTCTTTAATAACCTCCTGGTAATCATTACCTCGTACATCTCGTTCCACGTAGGGTTGAGATTGCTCTTGATAACGTTACTCGTGAATGTTTCACCACCAATGTTAATCTTAACGTAGGGGTCACTCTTGCCTTTGATCATTCCTCCCATCATGTTGTCTTTTGGAACCAGATTCTGCCCTGCCAGCAGGTGGATTCTAAGAAGTCCCTAAAATAAATCAAAAACAACACCGTGAGTGTCAGACAGGGTTTGGACCACAAGAGGGAGGGACATGCACATCTTTCTGTTTACCTCCGTCGCAAAGCTGGGATGAGGCGCAGTGTGTTGGGGCAGTTGTTTGGACTTTCCAGCTGCCACATCAGAGGACACATTGGCTTGAATGTGTTCCTCATCCAACCACAAAACCTGAAGATGTTACAGAGAAAATGAAAAAAAGAATAAGAAATATCTGGCAAATGACTTTTACAGTGCAGCAAGGTTGAATGTCTCTGCTGTCGTTTACCCTCAGAACTGCGTTGATGTAGATGCGACTGGCATCTCCAGAGTTGTCCAACTGGAACCACTGGTCCAGAGAAAGGTTGGAGTTGGACAGTAAACGGGACAAGGGAAGGGACAGACTGCCCAAGGTCTGCACGCGGTCAGCATCCTTCACCTGAGTTAAACAGAGTTGATTTCATATTATTGAAACCGAACCTACAGCAGTTCTGGCAGTGATCCTGACGACAGGTACCTGAATGTCAAGGTCTTGTTTGAGTGGATCTTGGATGAAGAAGGTGAAAGCTTCCTCCCACTCTGGATTAATGGTTGTGTAACACGTCTGGAATGAAGAACAGCATCATTTTTATCTCAATGGAATGCTCATCAATAAATAAAATGCAACCTTGAACCAAATCTAAAATGGAATATTTGACAGTCACCTTGCTCTCTCTGGTAACATCCTGCACTGACAACTGCACCATGGGGTTTGGATCCTTGTTGCCCTTCTTCATCTACAACAAACCCACATGTGGTTCAATGTGAATGTTTATTAGATACCATAGCAACAGGAAACATAGAAATAGAGCAAGTCTTTGTGGTTTAATCAGGAAGTTCAAGTACGCACTAACAGAAGCTACACAGAGGGGTTTTTTTTTCTTCTCTCAAATACTTTGCCAGTGCTGTTTTATTTTGTGTACGACGTCAGCAGCAGAACTCAGACCGATGTGTTTCAAAAGTCATGGAGTCAGAGGACAAGGCAAAAGGCAGTGTGGAATGTCTGACAGGTGGTAGTTACAGCCCCACTTAATTTAACCACACACACACACAGAGAACGGAACTCTGAGCACTGAGCTGGCACGAAACGCAGCACAGAGGGTAGAGATATTTGACTCACAGGAAGTGCCTCCGCCTTGTCGAGATATACTACCAAGATGGCTGAAGAGGGAGGATCAGCAGTCTTACTGGTCACACTCTGGTTCTTCTGTATGATCTGCAGAAGATAACGAAGAGTTGAAGACTCAAAAAAAA